GAATTCTGGGAGTTGAAGTCCACACATCTTAAAGTTGTCAAGGTTGAGAAACACTGGTCTAATAGCTAAGAAATTGGCAGGTGCAGTCTGTAGTTCTGCTTGATGATAATTCAGCCAAACTGGGTTGAAACAGCCACATTATTCTCCCCAGTATAAGTCCTATTTCTTTATACTTTCAGCATGTTCTACGGAAAGGCGCTATATTTTTCCTCAGGCACAGTAGGTACTTTTCTGAGAAGAAAAGGCTGCATTATTTTTTCTGTTCCATGCTCTACATTTTTCTTTACAAAAGCTTTTTCACTCGGTTTCCTATTGTGCCCTCAAGGCCACAGGCCTGCACGTGGCTTCAAAAAGTCTTCATGACTAAGCATACGGGGAACAATTACATTTATTTATCAATTACATTAAAATGACACTCAATTAACATTTAATCAAATGTCATCCTTATCTTGGCCCTGCCCATTTTTTTTTTTTTGACTCAACTACTAAAAGTTGTCATGAAAGATGCTGCTAAACTGCAGCTCCTGATGAAAAGTTTGATCGGTTTTAATTTGTACAATATTATCGGTAACATCATTACTGCTTTATTCATAGAGGCTACTGGCTCATCTACAGACCCATGCCTGGAAGCCTTACTGGTTTTAGAGAAATCTGAATATGCAGTAATTTAATGCTGGATGGCAGCCTTTCTCCCATAGAAATAAATAAATCATAAGGCAAAATAAGCATCTCATTAAAATATAAAGACCGTACTTTAAAATTATTGACATGTTTACCCATATTTTCCCTGATCTGAATGAGTTATCACATTCCACTGGGTTATAATAAATGGCGTTTGGCTGAATCTTTAATTGCACTTAACTCCTCAATCTCTATATCCGAGTTAGGAAGAAGGTGGAAATAGACTGACTGATTTTTTTGGAGGTAGGATTTGTGACTGATCAATAATAGCAATAAAAGGCTGCCTTCCTATGCAATTTTATTTTTCTGATTTATGGTCAAATAATCTTGAGACTGCGTACGGCTCAGCTATAAAACGGGACATTATATTTAAGAGTGCTAATATCATTTCTTGTTTCTATATTGTCTGGTTTTTTTCCCCAGCAACGTGTATGCCATACCAGCTTAAAAAAAAAAGTATTTTAATACAGAATGGCTTATTTTTTAAATGAGTAAAGCATGAACACTGAAAAGAAATACTCGTACCTCTTCTCTTCAAACCTCCTTAAATACATTATCCCATCAAACATAGGTCAATTTCATTATTAGTTCATTTAGCACATAAAAATCCTACAGTTTTTCAAATTAATACATCAAACTGGGGTGGGACAAGCTGAAAAACGAACGTTACTTTCCTAACGCATGAAATATATTATGTGTACACTTTAAAAAAAATTTTTTTTAAAGACCTATTTCTTGGCTATATAAAAAGATTTATACCATAGCATTGGCCAACCACGTGCCTTGCTGGAACCGCCGTGAGACATTTGGTTGGACGAGCATTTGGGGAAATGGTCTCATCAGCATTAATAGAAGCCGTTTTTCAAACACTGGAAGTTTTAAGATGTAATAAACGAAATATAAAATACATGCTGTGCTCCAGGAAGACGTTTTTACATTCAAAAAGTCATTTCATAGCATTAATTCACTCCATCTGCAGAATATCATACTCTGGGATCCATACCCATCACTCTTCTTTAAAAGGTATCCTTTTTTCTCGCTGCCATATTCTTTATTACCCTGAAGCTGATGCATGCTATAGCCTCCTTGCCTGCTCTGTGAATCCTAGACAGAAGGAAAGAGATGAATATATTGATGTTTTCCTTCCCCTGATTAGTTCTTTGCTTGTTCTTTCTGTTTCACATTAATTCCTTCATTTACAGAACTACAGTGCAAAGAATGGTTTTGTTTTACAGAAGACTCTGGCAGAGACTTATGCTTTTTTTTTTTTTTTACTTAGCAGATAAAGGATGACTGCACACTTCCACAACGCAGAGCAGCTCTGGATGAAAATCTTAGCACATTGAGTTAAAAGTAGAATTAAAATTAATTTAGAAGGGATGCAAGCAAGCAAGCTATATACACACATGTAAAACACATGTATATGGATGGTTCAGTGGTATTTCCCACGTTTAATTTTGTTCATGGTTGGAAATTGGAACGAAATTCAGGGTATACATGTGTGAATGCCTGTATATACCCTACAGCACACATACACAAACGCACAAGCCTGATGAAAACACAGTGACTAAAAGATCTGCAAATTCACTGTGAGCACAATAGTCATGAAAGCATTGACTTACTCTCCTAGACTTCGATCAGAGAAGGCAAAAGCAACATAGAAAGAGAAAAGTAAGAGAATTTATTTTTCTAAAAGAACAATACTGAACATTTTGCAGTCTATTTCAATAATCAACACTTAGTAAGGGCAATAATAAAGGTAGTCAGAAGAGGGCACATTTGAGTGTGTCATAATGAAATTCTCAATGCTGATGGAAAGATGTTACTCAAATCCCCATGTAAATTGTGTTTGTGTGCTTTTTTTTAAAGACAGAATGGACCAGCAATACCAAGAACTGAATTATAGCCATTCTATAGCGTATGTTCTGATAAACAGCCACGGATTTTGGATTTGAGATTCCTGATGCTAAACTTTAACCAGAATTCAGTATTTCCTCCTTTCCCTATGTTTCATTTTCATTAGGAGTTATTGAATATACCTGAAGGACCGTCTCATCCCCGTTACACCATCCCACCCGGTCATGCAGAGAGGGCATGCTACGGACCCCGTCTGCAAGAGAATCTCATCTGACGGGGTCCAGGAGGCGAGCCTTCTCTGCAGCAGCCCCTGCCCTTTGGAACCCTCTTCCCCTCCCTTTTAGACTTCAGAAAAAAACTGTTTGGTCATCACGCGTGGGGTGGGGATGGAAATGGTCAGTTTTGGGGGTGGCTGGTTGCCTAGTCTTACCTTTGACCGATATTATCTGGTCACAGGCTGAAATAATATCACCATCGCTTGGATTTTATTATAGTTAATAACTGTATTTTATACTGTATTATTTATGTTTTTATTGATTTTAAATTGTTTGGTTGTGAACCGTCCAGAGTCCCTCCTTGTGGGGTAGGTGGGCAGCGATATAAATTTGACATATAAATAAATAAATATGAAGCAAGAGCAGTTGATTCCTACCCTCACAAGATTTGAATCTTTTTCTTTGCATCATATCAGGTCGCAAGTAACCTCTGACTTAACGTTTTTGGCAGGATGGATGAATGTGGAAAACACGGAAAATTCCCTTTACAGAAAGGAAAAAAACAGTTCCCCCCCCAAACTGTAAAATCAGCAGCAGCACCATTTCATCCTTCCACATGCTCCTGTTTCCCAAGCTGCTTCTCTCTTTCAAGCATCCTGACGTAGATTCAGAAGGGTGAAGAAGCCTCTGCAATTTCACAGGGCAAAAAGTGCCAGAGGGGACGACCGGGTTGGCAGAGAAGGACTTAAACCATCCGCCTTCCCTGCCTTCTTCTACTTTTAGCAGCAGCCTCAAGAGAACTATCTGTTTTTATTATGGGGCACTAATTAGAAACTCATGGAAAAATAAGCATATTTTCCTAGGAAGACTTTTCACGAAGTCAGAGTAGAAAACAAATACTGCACAAAATACCAGCATTCATGCTTTCTTAAAAATGCAAAAATCACAAACAGATCTCTGAGACGATTCTTTTTTTCTAAGTAAGCTCTGCACTAAAGAGTTATTTGAAGTGAAGGCACATTTCCATGCTATTAGAGCAGCAAACTGGCTTTTTATACCATCCTACACGCCTAGGGGATAAAATGACCTTTGGAGTGTGTTGGTGTTTCATTTGTATAAAACAGCATAGACCCCTTTTTTGTTCAAACTCCTTCTTCTATATAGGCAACTAGTGTTGAATGGCAGGACTGGGGGGGCGGAAACTACTGTGTATAACAAGATATATTACTCATATTTTTATATCCCTCCTTTCTATTAAAAAAAAATGGGGAGGGAGTGTGAGGGCATGTGTGAATGACCTTGGAGGGACCCTCCCTGGTTTTCCGGAGACTAAAAAGAGAGGAGGGGAGGGGAGAAATACCTTGAGTCTTGCAAGACTGATGTCAGCCTTGCGAGGTAGTCCAGACAAGAAGTACTACCAGGAGTGGAGTTCTTGATGTTCTCTGAGCTCAGAGAACACCAAAGACTCCACAGTTCAACCCTGAGCTACACATATTCTCTTCTATTGGCACTACCAGGAGTAGCAGCACTATCTTTATTGTAAGTTTACGTTAACAGAATCTTGCAAAACTGAAAGTATTTCTCCCCTCTCTCTTTTTGGTCTCTGAAAAACTAGGGAGGGTCCCTCCTGAAACGCTTCCCGTGCTCTTCCCCCACCTGCGGACTGAACTGCATCTTATCAGATGGTCACCCAGTCTGTGGGTCTTCCTCCTGTCTCCCAAGGTCATTCCCACAAACTATCACAGGGAGGCTCCAGGAACTTTGCACTGATTGTAGGAACTTTGGAGGAAGACAAAGTAGCTATAATAGTTTCTGAAACTAAGAGCTTTCCCCAGAGAGGAGCTCACTGGTGACAGAAGCATCTGGGCCAAGGCTATTTGTAAATAGCTGGCAGTGTTCACAACCTGGCTCTTCCCAAGGGACAAAAAGCAAAGGTTGTATCCATCCAAAGCTTGCTATTTCAACAATGCCACGTGTGGGATGAACCCTTCAAGGCCATATAGCCAAGGCCAGAAGACAGGGGAAGAGATTCAGTCATTCACATCCTTCAATCCTTCACCCATAAAACGAAGAGTAGACTAAGCTAAGCGATTTAAACTAAAGTTAAATCAAAGAGAACTAAAACAAAGACAGTGTTCCAGAAAAAAACATGGAGCGCCAAGAACGAAGGAGTTATCATTATCGTATCACCATAATGAAAGGATTCAGAGGGAGATACATCTAGGCATGGCTGCAGTGCTGGGGCTGGGTGGTTTCCAGCCAGAAAATAATGCATGCTCTAGAAGCTTCTGAAGAGCCTCTACATGTTCTACGCGTATGAACTGATAAAGATGGTGATGAAGAAGCAGCACTTTGAATTGGGTGTGAAAACTAGTAATAGCCTGATTGCAACATCCAGGATGAACCCAAACTTCCTCAACTTTTCCTTAGGCAGTTTCAGAACTGCAGCAGTGCAACTGAGCGTGAAATAAAACATGCTCAATGACTGAGTGGAGCTAGCACCACTAAAATGCTAAACAGCCTGGAACTGGGTGATTTAAAGCACTTCCTTCAACTATTTAAGCCTATCTGGCCTTTGAGATCAGCTACAAAAGCCTGGGTCACAAAGCTACTTGCAGTCCATTTACTTGGCAGGCACGAGAGAGACAGCCTTCTCAGAGATCTTGTGGCTACGTAATTCCCTTACAAATATATCATTTCTACCTCCTCCAGAGACTGTTTTCAACTAGAATCTAAAGAACTGTCTTTGCATCTGTTTTTCAAAATCCGCTCTTAAAGTAGAGTTTTAAAGGTTGTTGCCATTTTATTGCAGATTCGGGAATGAATTTTGTATCTGTATGATTCTTATTGTATCTCTGCATTCTTTTAATCACTAATTTAAATTTCCTTTTGAGAAAGGTGTGTTAGCTCTAAAAAGTAGCAGAAAAGTTCTTAAAATAAATATGGTATCGTTTCTTAGCTTTTTACTGAAAAAAAAAATACTTTAATGGTTTATTTAGCAATCAGCTTCAGTCAGAATTAGAACTCATCTTCCATAGAACCAAAGTAGCTTTTGGATAGTTTTAAAGGTGAGTCTACAAAAAACTTGTGAAGGATGGCTTTCTTACTAACTGGAATCATCAGACAGAACTATGAACATTTTGATATTCAGCCTTTGTCATAAAGCCTTAAATAAATATTAACTAACTTGCCCAAGGAAATAAATATTTCTTCTGCATCGAGTATGATACACCAATGCACATAACTATGTCGGAAGACCCAAATTACATTTAAAAGTTTGAAGCTTAAACTGAATCAACTAAAGGAATAATCTCTACACAGAATGGATCCTAAGAAAAAATGGTGGCTTTATTTTTAAAAATGTGGAAGAGCAAAACAGAAACTGGTCAACATATAGAAAGCAAACTGAGTTTAATGCTATCTAGACTAAGTAAACACAATTTATGACTCTGATTCATTTTGCTCATTGCTCATGCATGGAGAAAGCCCATACTGTGGTATTTTAAAAGTAGCAATTATACATTCTTCTGAGTATACATGAATTTGGCAGCAAAAGATTCAGTGAGCACTGCCACCTGATCCTCTGATTAAGAAGATGGCTGTTATTTTATTAAAAAACTTTTTATCCCACTTTTTAACTCAATGGGACTATAGATTATAATATTAAAGATGAAGCCTAAAGTAATGTTAGGTGCAATTCATTGGTTGTCACCTATAAAGCCCTTCAAGACATAGGAGCTGGTTACTTATGGGACCAACTTTCTCCTATCATTTCTGTCTGACCTATACGATCTGAGAGGGTTTGTGCATTCCAGGTCCCTCTGTTGTCGTCTTGAAGGAATATAATGGACTGTGGGAATATCCTTGAGAGACAGGAGGAAGAAGAGCCGCAGCCAGGGCAATGGTCAGGTAAGAGACATCTCAGCCCACAGAAGTAATGGGGATGTGGAAAGCATCTCAGAAGGGACCCTCCCTCGTTCCCTGGAAAGTAAAGGCAAGGGAGCAGAGATGTGCTTTGAGACTTGCAAGACTGATGTCAGCCCTTCAAGGTAGTCTGGACAAGAAACCAATACTATGAGTACTCAACATACCTTTATTGTAAGGTTACAGTAACAGAATCTTGCAAGACCCTTCTGAGATGTTTTCCATGCCCCCATTCCTTCTTTGGGATGAGGAGACAGGGCCTAGGAGACAGGCCTCCTCTAACACTTTGTCTGTCCTGTGAAACAATCTACCCAAGGTGATGTAATGGTATGTGGGAATGACCTTGGGAGACAAGGGGAAGAGCCACAGCCAAGGGAACAATCAGACAAGAGGCAGCTTAGCCCGCAGAAGGAATGTGGGCAGGACAAACGTCTCAGAAAGGACCTTCCCCAGTTCCTTGGGTTGTAAAGGCAAGGGGGGAGAAGTGTACTTTCAGACTTGCAACTTTCTGTTAATGTAACCTTACAATAAAGTAGAATTAGTCCATCTGAGTGTGCTTCCTGTTTGAACTACCTCGCAAAGTATGACCCCTACCTCATTGGTCCTTTCATAAAGCTGCAAAACATGGCTCCTTCAGCAGGCCCTAAAGTAGGGTGATCTGCTTCCTGATAGTCTATTCTGACTGGTATGAACATGTGTGAGTTGGTTGTCCTTCTCTGATGCACGGTATGTATTTTTGGTTTTTGTTGTTTCTATTACTTCTGTTTGCTGTTTTAACCATAATATGTAAGCTGCCTAGAGTTACTCCAGTGATGGAGATGGCTGGCTGGTTGGCTAGCTAGCTGATGGATGGAAGGATAGATATATAGAAGAGAGGTAAGCAAATTATTATCAAAGACTCAAGAAGAAATCCACGCTGGAAGGGATTTAACCACTTCACAATTAGATAAACGTTTTGGCAAAATACCTGAAAAACTCATGGGGAAAATGGAATGGATGTTATAAAAAGGACATTGGTTCACCTAATAATTTGCTACACAGCATTCTTCATTTATTTGAGCTATCTATGAATGTGCCAAATTTCAACCAAACCCAGTAAAACTGTTGTAGATGCCAGCAAGTAAAAGACGTGCTAAGCAATTGACTTCCGTATCCTTTTTACTTTGATGTTTCAAAAGACCTAGCATTTTCTTGGACATTAAAATGAAGTACTTTATTCAGACTTGCCATGAAAAGCAACCCTTGATTGGTATGGTGATTTTTCTGGGACCTGATAGATGATGACAACAACCAGTAGCAAAAATATACAAAGTTTGCTCAGTTTCACCAGATACCTATTCTTTCCATTATGGAGTATGACTTTTCAGGGTGAACTTCTTGATACACTGAAGACTATTAACATACACCATCCCCCAACCTTTAATTAGTCACAAGCAGGCACACAGACCATTATCAGAATAAGAATAAATACACACAATAACATTTTATAATCACTCAATAAGTAATAAAAACAAAAGAAATATTGACACCAGTGGGCTTCCCTCTTTTTACAGACCTTCTAAATATTGGATTTCTATTATGTAATGTGACAAGCATAACCTTCACAAGTTGCTTTAAAATGGAATAATTTCCCTGGAGATTCCCTTTTATGAGCCTGGAACAAACTTCTGTCTGGGGCAACTACCAAGTGTTATGTGAGATACTACTAGGACAGAGTACTAATACCAAACTTCTTAAATGATGGGCCATATTTAAATGCCTCGTATGGACAACACATTAACTGATTCATCTACTTAATCTATTGTTTATTGCATGGTCAACAGATTAATTTGCTGGTCTACTTAGACCCATAAAGTATTTTATCCTTTATGGGACACACATATACATCTATACTGAAGTGTTAAGAGTAAAGGGTTTAAAATCATCTTTATGGAATGTGAAAGCACCAAGAGAAAAATGTATGGGAGAAGAAAGTGTGAACCTCTCCTCGTGTTCAGCAGTCCTGAACTGGACACTTCTTCCACATTCAACTTGCAATTCAAAGGAGACAGACAATATACACAATACATTCCATGTGTACTTTTGACCTCAGGGAACCAAGAGAGATGGAATCCACAGATGGGAAAAGAGTAAGAAGTAAACCTCATATTTACTTCTAGAAAGCAAAATAGTATACTGATGGAGCAGAATAGGACGCTATATGCTGAGAAAACAATGTGCATGAATCAAACGTTCAAACTTGCAAGATTCTGTTATTGTTGCTATTCAAATAAAGTAGTTTTAGACTTATACGGCATTGGTTTCTTAGTCTGGCCTATCTTATAGGGCTGACATATACCATAAGCTAGAAGCACTGTGGTGTTTGTGTTATCAGCTGTATGTCTGAGTCATACTTGTAATATCCCTGAAGACTGACAGATAGACAGATCCCTGAAGATTGCAGTGGCTTAGGAGGCATGACAATATTACGAATCCTACCCAGGATCTGCTCAGGTATTTTTTGTTTCTCCTTTTATTTTCCATACTCTCTGGCCATGAGCTCTAAATATCATTAACATATGGCTTTAAACGTTTCTTTCATGGACAATATGGGCATTTATTTATTAACTACAACTACAATTGAAGCTCCAATGCAACAGGACCCCAGCTGGTTCACAGCTTAATGCAAACATCAGAATTATAATATATTGATACAGATAGATAATTACAACAAATTACATATTCTTTAATAGTATGTAAATAATAAATTATAATAAATATAATGCAGACATCCCAATTAGGGTGGCTTTTTATGTCACTTTAGATGCAGACTTTAATACATGTAAAACGGAGTCTAAGAGTTCAACCCATTGTTGATATTAGTTTTGCGTGTGATTCTTACCTCCTTTTGGTCAAGCTGTAATGAGGATTTTATCAAGTCCCTCAGCGCAGTGAGTTGTTTCTTTTCTTCATCTTGGGTCTGTTTTATCTAGAGCAAAAATATCCTCAACTTGTTACCCGTTTACATTTTTTTATTATTTGGATTAACACAAATATCCTTAAGTACATACAAATATTTTAACCATCTACATATACCTTCTGTGCAGCGGAAATAAAACAGTTGTTTTTTTCCCCCTTCATTATTTTTCAGAGTTAAAACTATCTGAAAACTATGACTTGCTCACTCCAGAAGGGAAGTATTGAGACTGCAGCATTTTTTACTCTTTTTTTTCAATATATATTCAAAACAGGCTAAATTGAGGAAGTGTGTTCCACTTCTTCTAAAACAACCACAGTCACTTTCAAGAAATGACTGATCCTATGGTTCGACCATAAAGGCAGGCATTCCTCACGCTACAAAACACCATCTTACAATACCAACCACTTTTATGTTAAATGCTTGCACACGAGACTCTCAGAGCAGCAGGGCTGGGCTGAGAATTAACTTAGATACATAAGAATAGAGGAGGGTCCCTGACTTTGTGCTCATCTGCTCTTTGTTCTAGAAATATAGTTGGACTAAAAAAAAAAAAACAGAAAAAATTAAAACAAATCCCCAAGTAAAGTTCAAAAGAAATTGGATGTCTTAATATCCAGATGGGGCCTTGGGTTTCAGAGAAGGTATAAGTTAGAGCAGTGTTTCTCAACCGTGGCAACTTTAAGATGTGTGGACTTCAACTCCCAGAATTCCCCAGCCAGCCTTGCTGAATTTTGGGAGTTGAAGTCCACATATCTTAAAATTGCCAAGGTTGACAAACAGTGGGTTAGAGGTTCCCCCAAACACTATTCCTAAGGTTATAGTAAGGTTATTCATTTCTATGTTGTACCATGAGAGAGCCAATCTACTTGATGACTCTTCAAATGTCCAGCCAGCCACAATATTAATTAATTTTAATTTGATTAATAAATAGCTAAACAATAACTATTCTTATTTTTCAAGCAGTATAGGAGAATGGGCTTCTAAAAACATAGCAAGAAACAAATTGATTCCACTTGAGGCTACACTTGTCAATCCATTTTATTCTCAGCAATCCAAGTGAACTAGTCTACTTAGTTTAAGAAATCTGAAAGTTGACAAGGCCAACAAGTACATTTGTGAAAGAAACTTTGTGGATTCTATCCTATTTTTTACCCTTTGATACGTGTCCCTAATAGGTAATTACAAAATAGTTATCAGTCCTATCTTACAAATTACTTACATTATATAAATCAGCAGCTAGTTTTTCAATGTACTGCTTCAGTTTATCAGCTGTCTTCAAGCCATCTTGAAAGAAACTGTAATGAAAAAAAAAAATTTATTACCAATATAGGAATCATGTTTCAAATTTGCCAGTGTTTTTTCAATATACAGGATATGTCAAAAATCAGGCTCCATAGGCCAATCACAATATATTTTATTTTTATTTTTTAGAGAAAATGTTACTGTACTTAGGAATGTTCAAAGATCACACATCAAAAGAGTGAGGAAATGTTTAGAAAAAAATGGCAACCATTTTGAAAATTTAATGTAATTTATATAATACACTATCTATGGGGTCTGACTTTTAGTACACCCTATAAATTAAATGAATATACATATTTATCACTTATTTATCACTTATTTTCCAATGCATGGGAACAGTCATCAGCAACCAAATTGGAAGCTAAAACATTTAATTATTAGAGGTACTTGAAATCTATTTATATTCCCATCATTTTCTCCTTTCCAGCATAAATGTTCAGAGAAGCCATGATTCTTGTGAACAGCTTCCTTTTTCAATATTTATAATCTAAAAAGTAGCCACAGAAGAAATAACAGACACATGAACTAGAGTAGATGCAAGAATATTCAATTCTATATCAATTCATTCTATAAATTGTTCATTTTTTAGCACTTCTAACAATTTGGCTGAAGAATCAAACAATTTAGCAGTGGTCTTGGGTTCTCCTCAACAAACTAGAAGAGAAAGCAGCACTTGGGGTTCAAAAACAAAAAGGGGCTTCATAACTCAGAGGGATGGGAACACAGCACTTCTTTGCAGATTCTTCTATGACAAAAAGAGCTTTGTTCAGAGTCCTGCACACTCCGAAGCTCCTTTTCACATTTGAATCTGAAGCTCATCACACCTCTAGAAGAAGCAGATTGGATGATAGCTTGGAAAGGATCTGTGTACAAACATTATCTGAAAACATTTCAATCATGTCTTCATATCAGTCAAGAACCTACCTGATTCTGTTGACAATATTTGCTTCTAGACCAGGGTTTATCAACCTTGACAACTTTAGGATGTGTGGACTTCAATTCCCAGAATTCCCCAGCCAGCCATGCTGGCTGGGAAATTCTGGGAGTTGAAATCCACACATCTTAAAGTAGCCAAGGTTGAGAAACCCTGTTCTAGACTGTTGAAAATGGATTCAGCATGATTCTAGTTGATGTATCTTGTACACCAACCAAGAGCAATTCTTTCAATATCAAGTACATGTGAAGCAGCTTTTTTTCCTCTTTCCAGATTATATCAATTCACCCTTTTTTCTGTTGACCCATTTTTAAAACCAGTTTGTATGACAGTGAAAGGATAATCAAATCTGATCTTCTAGGCAGAAACAGTAGGAATTCAATATCTATGACTTCACCAGAGGTTTTGAACAAATGGTGTTTAATTTTTATTTTTTTGAGAACGAGAAAATGAAAGTTCAGTAAAAGCAGGTGATGTCATCCCAGAAAAGAAAAAGGCTTCTAAATTTTAAATAATACATCGCAGCTGAATAGCTGAAGAACTATACTCACTTGCATTGTGCATGATAATACTTAATAAGATTCTGTAAAAGGTCCACGCCCTTTTTTGTCTTGATTTCATTAACCTTAATGAGATACTATGGAAAGAAAAAAAATCAAAGCTCAGTAGATAATTATACATTTGGGTCTCGCTGTATTCAAATGCAGGTTCTATTTGAAATCTATTTTAACAAATTTAACAATTATCTCAGAGGTTGTTTACAGCAAGCATCTAAAGGCACTCTGCTAATATGTGATTAAAATCGTGCTGTATGCAGAACAGTAATGCCTAGCAAGGTTATTTTACATTAGAACCAATACTGGGATGAATAGTGCTTTCTAAATTGTCTAATGCTATTGTTATTTCTTCCTCCCTAATACAATTACTATCCTTTTTAGACATTTAATAGCTTGTCTAACTTTACATTAAGTGCTTTGAAATAGTAATCCTGTTCTGAAGCACAGCACTGTATTAAGTACCTTCAGATGCATGAACACCTGCAAACCTCAGGTTTAGATGCTCCCCAATATGCCACAACGTCATAAGCAAATTCCAAGTTTACCATAAGCTACTGCATGTGAATTATGCTATCCCTACTTACTAATTGTTAACATTTTGATTATCTGTAAATCACCTAGAATTGCTTTAGATTGAGGTAGGGATAAACCATGCAAATAAATAAGCATTCCATTTAACTCCCATCCAAGATCTTGCATCATCATTGGGGAGATTCACATGAAATGGTAAAGAGAATGGTACAAAATTCGGGCTTACTCAGGTATGAGCAAGGAAATGGTACATGCTACAGAACTGCTCCCACTTGGCTTCTCCTGCTATTGGGTGCAGCTAAAAAAAATTGACCAGGATGATAAATAAATAAAGTTTGTTTAACTTTAGTGCAAATCTGAAATTCTGGTTTCAATTCTCTCCTATAAAGCCAGAAATCATAAACCAATAGTGAGCCATAATTTTATATGAGAAAAGAAAATCAGAGTCCTCACTTCACACATAACATTAACTAAATCATACTCAGACAGCGCTACCTGGATTTATTATCCACAGTCAGGTGGAGCTAGTCAGAATTCTTTATAAACTTTGTACGTGATGTCAGACATAGAATCCTCACTTCTTAAAGGTTCCCAAGCATGAATAATCTCTTTTACTCTGAACATCCATCAACAATCATCTTGTGGCTGCATCTAATCAACTTACGAACTTGCATAAAACATTTAGGATTAGAACATTCATCTAGATTCTAGAATTATATATCCCCAGTGTTGGGGAATTATATAGGCCAAAATTGGCTGGGGAAATCTGGGAGTTGGAAGTCCATACGTCTTATACTTGCTGAGGTTGAGACACTGATATAGGCTATGTTTGCACAAGTAACAAAGGGGCCATTTTGTTGCACTGCTATAAAGGATCAGGACCAAGGTCCTCCACTGAGAGATTCAGATTGACAAATGTATTAATGTAATCACAAAATTACAGATTGCCCAAATTCAACTTTTATCCTCTTTTTGTGAATTAGCCCTAAAATGATTATGAAATTCAGTATAAGATTAACAAGTGCTTATCAATTTGAAGGGAGGGGAAGAGATTTCAAGTTCCAATAGAAGAGAATGTCTGTAGCTCAGGATTGAATTGTGGAGTCCTTGGTGCTCTCTGAGCTTGGTCGTTTGCTTGCAGATGTTTCATTACCCCACTAGGTAACATCATCAGTGCAAGCAAGTGTAGGGTTTGCTCCCTGCTTATATACAGTAGCTTGTCCTCCCCACAACACATGGACAGACTCAACCACAGTTTCAACTGGGAAACTTTTAGCATCTTAGGCCAAGCCAAATACAAACATGCTAGGGAATTCCCGGAAGCTTGGCATTCAGACAAATCAATAGACACAGAGAAATAAACCACATTTTCACACCCTTCAAAACAGACAATAAAAAACCTAGGAAGAAAACAAAAAGACTAGAACGCATTCCCTCCAGCAGCCAGCATTCAGATAAGTAGGGATCAACACCAGATAATCAAGCAGAAAACAATACTCCAATCAAAGAACCACCAAGGAGGAAACCAGACCCCCAACACTGGCAGGGCAAGCTACTGAATATAAACAAGGGCAAATCCTACACTCACTCACACTGATGATGTTACCTAGTTGGGTAATGAAACGTCTGCAAGCAAACAACCAAGTTCAGCGAGCACCAAGAACTCCACAGATTTCAAGCTGTTTTATACACTGTGGCCCAGTATTAGGAGATTTACAGAATGTTTAATTGGTGAATTTAAAATGTGACTTACTTCACACATCTGGAGCTGAAACAGCCTTCTCTCTTTCTCCATTTCTTCTGCTATCTCAGCTCCAGTAATCTCTGTTCGTATCATCCCATGTTGTTTTGCATGTTCCCTTTTTTCTTTTTCAATTTTTGTGCTGTCAATTACAAAACAACAAGCAAAAAGCATTTAGGAAGCTGGTCAAGCTGTGAAAATCACAAGAAATCACAAACTTGAGTCCATTAATATAGAAACAATGACATTTCTCATGTTTCTCATTTTATCAAATTTCAGCAAGCCATACATCCAAACTAAAATAGCCTTCCACCTTAAAAGCAAGCTGTTAAGTGCTGAAAAACAGGAGGAGGACTTGGTTATTTTAGAAATCCAACACAAGCATGTCAAGAATGATTCGACTTATGTACCACCTTGGCATAAAGATCTGATTTCAGGTCGTTCTCTTATATGCTTCATTTTAAGGAAATTAACTTTGGAAGCAATCCAAAAGGCCCCAATTATCCTATGTGGGCATATTTATTTAAGATCTTTCTTAGCCATTTTTGAATGCTATATTGGAAAGTAGGCTGCTTTTAAAACCATAAAAAGACCACAATACCTGAGAGTGATTCCCTGAGTTGAATCCCAAGGATACTTTAACAAAACACCATTTCATACATATCTATGCAAAAGCCTGATGTTTTGACCTCATCATTTTTTTCTTTGCGTTTCTTTATGCATTTTCAAACAAATATTCTTAAAGATCTGCACTGTTGGTCAGAATTACTGTATATACTTGCAGACAAGCCATCCACGGATAAGCCAACCCTCGAAATTTTCATATATTTTAATCTTTACAATTGGCTTATCTATGGGTAGTGCATTTTTCACAGTATTTCGGTTAAAAGTTTGAGGGTCAGCTTATCTGAGGATGGGCGCATCAGCACTGTAAAAAAGTATCACCGTATATACTCATGGATAAGCCGAACCACATTTTGGGGGTGCATTTTCGTGCCTAAAATTCTCAGCTTATCTGCGAATATATAAATTACTTGTTTAAGATGGGCAACAATGTAAGTTATCTATGAGTAAATAAATGCTATCCCTATTCATTGGTATTTTCCGTAGGAAAACAAGAATGCTTGTGCATGTGTGCATACACAAAACTATACCATCAGTAACATTACCTGAAAGGAATCATCACAGTTCAAATGATCAATTAACAATATTTGATTAATAAACTGACCAGCATGCTAACTACAGAAAGATAATGTGGAAATGTTTTGAATACTTTTTTACTTATTACTTTTTACAACTGTGTGCCAACTAAAGGAAGAACAAACAGCTGGTATAGATTCCTAAGTGAGACTAGATTATACATTTATTTTTTGCCTGTTACATTATGAATCAAGACGTGACAGACATCTGACGACAGTTCAAGTATAGGAAGACAGGAGGTTATTGACTTTAAGCACAAATGTTTGCTCAGCAAAGTTAACAACATACTTACAATTTGGTCTCATAATCCTTCCAGGCTTTATCGAAGGGCTTTTTGAGATCCTTAGGGAAGAGAAAATTAATTTAAAATAAGTTTAGGGCACTGCTATGTTAAAATGTATATACTTAAGGTATTATTTCATAATTATAAAATGACTTTTAAAAAAATTAAAAGCTTTAAGCATTTGTTTCCCATAAATCTTAGGGCACATGTATCTCAAGCTTTTTAAAAAGGGTTAATGGGAAAGTAAAGTATGCAATTACAAGTAAATATAACCAAATTTTCATTCAAATGTGATAGCATCACCATCACAGTGATGGATAAACAGCAAATCTGCAGGCTTACCCCTTTAATTCCTTTCAAATCTCCTTTCAAGAGAGAATCCAGGGTGAAGATAACATTATGGCTCAACCCTTGCAGCTAAGAATAAAAAACAGTGTTATTCAGTATTTAAAAACAGTGAACTTAAAATGAGCTACCAAATCAAACCAGCATTTTTGTCTGGTTTCTAGGACACATTTACACCCTAGAGCAGGAATTTAACTTATTCCTGCATATTGGAAATTTACCAAGCTTCACACAGCACAGGTTTTACCCTCGTTAACAAAGCTACACCAACCTGTGACAAGAAGTAAAGGATTTCAAAAAGGAGTTTTTTAGATAAGGGGTAACTTTTCAAGCACTGCATTGGGCCTTTTGTAAAGAAAAGTAAAATAAAATCCTTTGAACATTGAAATTCAAGTAAGATTGTGAACATTTTTGTGGAACTGTGGCAAACCAATGCAACTGGAGATACAAGGGAAAGAACAGGACCCAGCAAGATCATGTAAAAGAGGGAAAGTGAATCTGTAGGGTTTAGAGCAGTGTTTTTTAACCTGGGCAACTTGAAGATGTGTGGACTCCCAGAATTGAAAATACTAGTTTACAGGTTTACATAAATGAAATCTGACCACTGGAAATTAGTTTCAAATGTTTCTGCGTCTCTCAGCTGTCAGCAGATTTAACTTCCATCTTATCAAAACTATTTATCAAAAAGAGCACAAGATGATGAAGCCAATGCATGATGGAGGGCCAAATTCTCCTATTTAAGATACATTTAATACAAGTACATTGCAAACTCATGAGGTTAACAGATTTTTTTTAATAATCACAAAGACCTGAATGGTTTGATTAAAACCACAGAATGTTTAAATCAGAAACAAATGGATAAATTATTTATATCATCTCTTATGAGTTATAAATATTTTCTGCTGCAGCTTGGCCATTGATGATGTTAACTATGCGCACTGTTGATTCTTATAACCAAACTTTCTATTTGCTGACATGCCTATACTTTTCATTCTGTTTTTTTTAACCTATAAAACAAACATCATTAAAGTACTTCTAAATCATATATTTCCATGAGTATCATTCTTGACTTTTTGTGAGGATAAGTATGGGAAGATAAGAAACCTGAATATAACATAACATTGTCTTTTTTTTTTCTTCTTTCCACCTTACCTGATTCCTTATAAAACTCTTCAAAGCTATCAGTAGCTCTGAAGGAAAATCTTAAAGTTACTGAGATGAATTTGAATTGAATTCAAAGAAAACTGAATGTCATAGATAACTGTTACCCAAGCAAGCAAAATTCTTAAAGACACAATTTAATGAAAATACAGAATAACAGTAGCTAGTGTTAAACAATCTTTCTTTTAAGAAAAAAGTAGCAATACTTTTGCAGTGCAGTTAAAATCATCACCATGATCATCCAAATTGAAATGGAACATATTTCCTATCAATGGAAGTGAAATAGTGAAACCTAGCCATCTGAATCTTTCTGGGTGCAGTGAAGATACTAATTTCTTAAATATTCAGTGTACATCTCAGGCCGCTGTACATTTCTAAGAAAGGGACAACAGTTGGAGTCATCTTCAGGGGGATTTCAACATGACTGCACCTTGCAAATGATGGAACTGACCCTTTCTTCTAGAGTCGAATGCTCTGAATATAATATTGCTTTGGAAGAATAGTGAGGAACTAGAGGTTTGTGGAGATGTAGAAACTTCTATTTTAAACACGGGAGATCAAGATTTATGTATTCAAATTATATGAATTCAAAGCTGCTACGTACTGACCTTCAGTGTCTTAACACCTCCAGTGGTTTATGATAGAAAACCTAAATTTCAGAGTAGGGAAGGACTTCCAGGTGATTGGGATAAATGTCTTTGCCCTTGGCAAGTAAGAAGAGCAATTTTGGAAGACCCTGTCTTCTACTAAGAAGACAGTAGCTCATAGCAATAGTTACTGGCCAATGCTCATGCAAGATATTGTCAACTTGATATAAACAGCTTTGAGGAAGTACTCTTTATCTGATAGCCACGGATGTCCCAGGCTCCTGCTGCTTTCTTCAAAATGACAAAAACCTGCCTCTTCTGGACATATGTGCAACATCAAAACTTTGATACAAAATGGATTGTGCTTGCCTCACAAAGGTGCAATGCTGCTTATGTCAGATTGACCCTCTTTGGAAGTTGCTACTGATAGATTTGACAGAGTAACTGAGGTCATTCTCCAAAAACAACTTTGCTTAGAACTTCCTTTACACCAACGGAACAAATTCAAAGCTAACATTTAGAATGTAAGAAACACTACATGTTTGCTCCCCACACACCAATTTTTTTTTAAGGTTGGAGAAATCAAAGTACAATCCAGTATTAGAGAAGGAAGGGGAGCCAGTTTGGTATAGTGGTTAAAGGCCGCAGGCTACAAACCAGGAGACTGTAACTTCCAGTCCCACATTAAGCACAAAGCCAGTTGGGTGACTTTGAGCCAGTCACTCTTTCTTAGCCCTAGGAAGAAAGCAGTGGCAAATCACTTCCGAAAACTGTTGCCAAGAAAACTGCCTAGACTTGTCCAGGCAGTCACCAGAAGTCTAGACTGACTTGAAGGTACACCCAAAGTTAAATACAATTAATTTAGAGGAACAGGACTTACATTGCATGCTTCCATCCTGAGCCTTCCCCACCTTTTAATTACTTCCTAGTTTGTGGCAGCCGTAAGTTGCCGTAAGGTAAGTTACTAACCTTCCAAACTAGTGAACATTAAAGAATGGACCATGAAAGAAGAGAAAAGAGAAGGATGGGAGGGCATAAGCCCAAAGTATGATTACGAAACATTACGTTGGATCTGATACTACAAGTGTTCTATTATTTGCATCACTCAAAATAAGTTTATTTGAACTGTATGTATTTGTACACTGCAGCAATAATTCCTATTCATTTAGCCAATATGTAAAATATTTGTAGCTTTATATCTTTGCATTCTGAGGAACGAAACACTTATTTTAATACCGAATAGATTTATTAAATGTACCAAACAGGATGAGGCTGGAAGGATATGAAAAATGAGTTCACTTTAGTTTCTCCAGAATTATCCAGTGCAAAAACCAGAAAAGAAAATTAGTTTTAGAACCCAAATTTAGGATGAATGCTATTATAAATGGCTGCATAGACTGAATAGCTTCAGTCATTTACAAAGCTAGAATAAATACTTAAAACATTGTATTAGTACTCATGAAATGTGACATTTTCTCCATAGGAGCACAGAGCTGTATTTAAAAGATAATGCTCGCTCCAGAAAGGTAAAAAGTTGGGTTGTTTATTACAATCAATAATTATGTAACAATATAACCTACATTTTGTATGACTTACATAACAACCCTTATATAATAATAATTGTAAATACTTTGAAGGACGAAACATTAGAAACTTCTTACCAGATTTTTAAGCAGTGTTGACAATTCCTTAGTCAGTGTGGAAAATTTAACAAAAGCTGTGCCCAGGTCTGGATTATCTCTACTTAAGAAATTACTTCCAAATTTATCTAGCACTTGTGCATAGCTTTCTTCATTTTGGACATGTTCTAAAAGAGAAAAATGTTCAATTAATTCCACTTACAAGAATACAAAATAATAACAATGGCCAATAAAATGACTAGTATTTTTCTGGAAGAACAATACTAGACGTGATCATTTGTTCATTTCAAAGATTTTAAAGCGACCCATTGCAGTAATAACATTGCCCTCTTAGGGAGAAATTTTCCTAATAGTCTTTTGCTCTCTTACAGAAGTCAAAGCTGAGAATATAAAAAAGAATTTGAAGAATGACTTAGAAATAAAAATTCAGCATCAACATCATATCATCACCCCACGAAGCTCTTGTAATAGCACATTCCTCAATGTGAATGGACTAAAGACCACTCCTTAGTTCACTAGTCAAGACATTAAAAAAAAAAAATCTGGAATCACCATGCCTTGATGTCACATTAATTAAAAGAAAAAAAGAAAAACAGTAATATCCAATGAATTAATTAGTGATGAAATTGAAAAACAAACAAAAAGAAAAGAATGGTTTTATAGAACATAACAAAAGTTTTCTACATTTAGTCAGTAATGGATTATTCATTTAAGAGTTTTGACCTCCTTGACTGTGGTTGCATAACCAAGGGCATGGCATAAATAAAGGTTATGAATCACAGCAAACTAGCTATAACTTAATTAAATCTCTTCTGTTCTGTGACCATCCTAAGAAAGCTAAACTGTATTTTACATGATAGTCAAGAAGCATTTCTTAATATAGTTAATATTAGTACTCAATATATTAATAGTACTAAATAAAGGCATCACAGCCATAGATGCTAGAGAAAAGACAGTGACTTAAAGAAGAAATATTTTATTGGCCCAACTGTAGAAATTCCTGTGGTAACATATTTTGTAGTTCTAAACATATGTATTCAACCTGTTTAAAAAAGGCTCAAGATAGCTGCGTAGAAAGCAATTCTTACATTTCAGAAACTGCAAAAGGAATTTAAAGACAAAATTTAATCAATCTCAACATTCAATATTAAGGTTGAATTACAAGGTAACTGTTTGTCTATTTAGCGAACAAACTTATATGGCTGCCTATCTAGCAGAAAAAACGCTGGATGGCAAGTATATTATGGGAAAAAATATATATTGTTCTGCTTCTCACACAGCTTTGGATTGGGCTGAATAATGGGATGTACAACAGAAATCCCGGAACAACTCTTTTGTCTTGGCTAAGCTGCGATGTCATTCTGTCACAAAGTGGTTTTGAAGAATAGGCCTTACAAAAGTTTGCATTAAACAAACAATATTGTAGGAGTATTGGCAGAACTCAACATTTTATACAGCTATATTTCCTTTATGTGTGTCTTTGATATCTTCCTCTAACAAATTTAGATGGTATGGTGCCTACTGTTTGGATCCTCAACAAAGTCCTAAATTCTTCTGCCTCATCTGACTTTAGCTTTGTTTTTGTTTTTTTAAGTTGTCATGATACATGGCAATATACCAGCCCCAACATCATATTTATTTCTAGGCATATATCTGAACTGTTCATTAAAAGATCTGTACAGAAAAATAATACAAGGGAATGGCGGAAGCCTTGGAGATAGTAACTCAAATTCTTAGCTATACTTTCTTCATTCTCCCATTCTTTGGAACTGGCATGATAGCTAGCATCACCTGAACATGGTACATGGCACAAAATAATCTATCAAAGAGTCAGATCATAAGGAATTCTAGCTGGTACTCTAACTTACTCCAGCAACAATCGTTCTGCAAGAACTCAAGTAGAGCTTTTCTTCTATCCTGCTATCCAAGACTTTCAGCATGTAAGAGCAGACTAGCTGGCATCCATGGGCACCAATATCTGAGGTCACATCCATGGGCATCCAACAGATTCCTTGCCATCTAACTTTAGCTGGTTCTAAATATTCATTTAGTTTTTAAAAAAGATTAAATAGGAAACAGGCTGCAAAGTAGCATGATGGCACGCATCCATGACTTGTTCTCAACATTCCAGACACATCCACTGACTGGAATAGAGACTGTCTATTCCTACAGAATCAGATATTCCTGTTGCTGAAGTATGCCCGAAGAAGCAAAAGCAAGGATAAACCAGGTCATCTAGAAAAAATTGCCTCAGTCCCTTTTCTTTCTTGCATTTCTTTCTTGCATTTCTTTCTTGCATTTCCTTCCTTCCTTCCTTCCTTCCTTCCTTCC